TTGCTCCTCGTCAGCAGGTGAGTCCGTTCCCTCCTCTCTCCACTCGAGAGAGGGGAGTCCAGTCGAAACTCCAACGACTCCTACGGACCGTCGCCCATCTCCAGTCCGCCTGCCAAACTCCCGCATATGGTCGTCTAGACTGATACACATGTTAACCAGGGCACTTAACGATTTAGGAAGCTCTTTAGTGGCCAACTCACGTTTGACGTTCTCGTTTAAGCTGTTTAGGAATGCTCCTCGGAGCGCCTTCTCCTCCCAACCCGTCTCCTCGGCCAGGATCCAAAAGTCCACGGAGAAGTCTGCCACGCTTCGCCGGCCCTGCTTTAAAGTAAACATGCGATGAGCAGCACTGTCAGGGTTAGAGCCTTTGTCAAACACACACCGAAATTTGCTCAAAAAATCACTATATGAGATGGAGGGTTGGGCGCTCAGGACTGCTTGAGCCCAGAGTAGCGCTCGTCCAGTCATGAGCTCCACCATGAGGGTGATCTTGGCGATATCAGAGGCATAAGCTCGAGTCTGCTGCCTAAAAATCAGAGAGCATTGAGCCAAAAAACCCCGGCTCTTGTCCAACTCTCCACTGAATTTTTCAGGTGTAGGGAACGTGTGTTCTCGCCGAGGCGGAGGCGGAGATGGAGGGAGGGGACAGGCCGCCGCTATATTTAGGAGCTCCACAGGTGGTTGTGGTGGTGTACTGGGCTCTGGTGGTTGAATGGGTGCCCTAGGTGTAGCAAGCAACATAGCTTTCAGTTCAGATACCACCTGTAGTAGCGCGGACTGCTCCTTGGCAACGTGCTGCAGCATCTGTTCATGCCGCTCCAACCGTTCAGCTTGAAGCGCGAGCTCGCGCTGGACGGGGGTTGAGTCCGCTGAGTCCATGGCTGGCTGGATTGTTCTGTCACGGGTAATAGGGGAAATACAGACTCAGTCGCGGAGCTCTGGATGCGAAGTAAACAGTGCGTTTATTTACAGTGCTCAGAACAGTCACAAAGCAAAATATAAAAATCCACGGTGATCCTCTCCAATCTCCCAGGGGTGTGCAGGTGAGTCTCCCAAGTGATTATCTGAGTGTGTTTCTCCTCCGAGGGCTTAATCCAGCGGACTCCTTCTCTCCAACCTTCTGCTCCGTATTGCTTCCTCCGAGCCTCCAGTACAATCCAGCGTCGACTGCCATCCAGACACATAGTTAAGTACCTCAGTCCATGACGAGGATGATCAGTGACAGCTGGATGGCAAATTAGGTGCAGGTGTGTCAGCCACTGGGTGGAGGAGGAGAGAGAGAGAAGCACACACATACACACACACACAGGTCGCTCCGGGAAGGACCGTCCGACCATGACAACAACAAAACGTGAGACATTTGTTGTTTTGTGTTTATTTATTGTTTTTATGTTCAGTTTCAACTGTTACGAAGTTGATGTGCAGTTAATAAGTGCGATAAATATTTATACTGGAAAAGAAAATCGTGAGAGAATCGTGATCTCAATTCTAAGCCAAAAAATCGTGATTCTCATTTTATGCAAAATCGTGCAGCCCTACCACACCGGGTGCCACTTTTGCTAAGAACAGCAAACTGAGGCTAGAATTCACACAGGCGCACCAAAATAGTACAACAAAAGGTTGGAAATATGTTGCCTGGTCCGATGAGTCTTATTTTCTGCTGCAACATTCAGATGGTAAAGTCAGAATTTTACATAAACACGTTTTAACGTCCATTCTGCATTCAGTTCAGGCATGTAGTGGTGATATAATGGTATAGGTGTAGTTTTTTGGCACATCTTAGAACCAATTGAGCAAGAATCCAGCTCCACGGCACACTTGAATATTGTTGATGACTATGTTAACCTTTTATGAGCACAACAATTTCAGCTATTTCAAGTTCTGTTTAATTTACTTGACCATAATAACCTTGCATGCAAACACTAAAGCGTCATTGTCAAGACAGATCTCGTTGAACTTACTCTGACCCATATTGGATGAAAGTAAATGTTTCCCCTCCAATCTTTAATTAATTTTATAACATAAAATCTAAACAAAGCAGTACTGACATAAATGCAGTTTTTTGGAATGTAATGAAACCTTCATAATCTTTACTTTTTTTTTAAAGTAAACTTTTTTTACTTTAAAAAAACTTTGTTTGCTATTAGTTCATCACTTTCACACAGGCCAAAAATTAAGCAAGATTTCAAGCTTCTGAAGAACCTTAGCTGACTCCAAGTTCTTTATCTCACTGCTACTGCTTTATGACTTAATATGGCAAAGCAATGTTTGCTTTCCTAAAATGAATTTATCAAAACCCAACAATAAGAACAACCTATCAGCTTACTGTCAGAAGCAGAGACTGAACTCTTGTGACTAATCTGAAAATGCCAAATATGACTGTGAATCATTTACTTACATTTAAGGGTTTCTCCAGCATAGGGAATATGGAGTTTAAAGCGATCACAACAGGGACCAGGCGTCAGAGATGTACATCTGAACATGAGGGAAGATGAAAACACAGACATTCAAATCAAGTAATCAGTTAACATCAGGGATTTTTTAGGATCAGTATAGAGATAAAACAAATATATTGCTGTTTAGGAAGAGTTTGATAATTTTTTGACACTTTATCTTTATAGAAACAACATTTTGACAGTCTTATTAATCTAATTATGGAATACATTATTCACATTTTTACACAGTCTTGATCAAAAGTTTAAGACCACTTGAAAAATGGCAAAAATCATATTTTGCATGGTTGGATCTTAACAAAGTTCCAAGTAGAGCTTCAATATGGAACAAGAAGAAAAGGAAGGAAGACAAAACATTTTTTTGAGCATACAATTTATTGAAAACAACACTTAAAATGAAACAGGCCGTTTTACAGGCAATCAAAAGTTTAGGACCACATGCCTTAAAAGCAAAAATCTCTCATTTCTTCTTGTTGCGTGTTGAAACTCTACTTGGGACCTTGTTAAGATCCAACCATGCGAGTTTGTTGGGGAAGAACTTGATCAACCTGCCAGTCCTGACCAAAACCTGATAGAACACCTTTGGCATCAATTAGAGTAGAGACTGTGAGCCAGGTGTTCTCATTCAACATCAGTGTCTGACCTCACAAATATAGTTCTGGAAGAATGGTCAAAAACTCCCATAAACACACTCCTAAACCATGTGGAAAGCCTTCCCAGAAGAGTTGAAGCTCTAAAGGGTGGGCCGAAATTATATTAAAAACTATGGATTAGGAAAGGGATGCCACGCAAGTTCATATGCGTATGAAGGCAGACAAGCAATATACTTTTGGCAATATAGTGCATATGTGCACATGCAGATCTCAAATTAAAATGAATACAGAACAATTCTGAAATTACATATTATGCTAAGTCTAGTATTAAAAGTTAAGCAGACAATTATTCTGCAATGAAAACTCCACAAAACAGTATTTAATACTTTTCTTTTAGTAAAGCAAATCTCTTTGGATTTGGGGCTGTTTGTGACACAAAACAAAGAATCTTAGGCACTCTTTTTGGCTCAGCGGGCCTAAAATAGACCCTGTGCATTCCCATGAAATAATCAATGTTCACTTAGTTCTCCAAGTTTTCTGAAGATCTTCCAAAGTTGAACAGTATCTGGTCTCAGTGGAAGGGTGGTTGTAAAGAATACGTTCAAAAGCAAGGCAAACAGTGAGAAAATGCTGAGGTATGCCAAATTACACAAAAGCTGAACTGAATATCAGTAACAACAGGTCCTATGGTGTAATGTATCCGAATTTGATCCTGGCAGTGATATTTAACACACTGCCAAGGCAGGATAAGCACACCTGGAAAATGGACAGCTCAGTCATGGATTGGCAACCCAAGAGCCCAGACCTCATCATTGTTGAAGCAGTGCTGGATCATCTTGACAGAAAACAAAAGGTAGCCAACATCCAGAGAAGAGCTTTGAATGTCTTTCAAGAAGCCCAGATAACTATTCTTGGGAACTGCTTACAGAAATTACGAGAAAGCTTGCCCAAGAGATTTCAGAATAGAGCTGGTCATACCAAATATTGACTTTCAAACTCATTAGAACATCACAGACAGTTTCCCCCCTTATAGACTGTATTTCCATGTATGCTTGCAGATGCTTTAATAGATCACTGCAACCATTTCCCATTTTATGAGCAACATATTAAAAAAAAGTATAGTGGCAAAAAAATCTTTGCAAAAACCTTGTGGGTTGGTCCAAAACCTTTGCACAGTACTCTAACAATATTTGTCATTTAGCTCCAGTTAACTTTTTTCTTACAGACATCATTTGTGTAACATGTGATTAGTCCTCACCCAGTTTTGAGATCTGTGACACGGAGGCAGTTTGTGGAATCAAGCCCCACACGGCCATTCCTCACCACACTGCACAGCAGGGGACGCAGCTCAGGTGAGATCCGGTGCAGTGCGACTTCAGGGGACATATTGTTCATTTTACCCACTGTGAGCAGTCTGTAGAGACACGATAACAGTATAGAAATGCTTTGAATTATTTTATTAAAAAGCTAATTAACACAGTAGAAAGATTAAATATTAGTATTTGGTATCGATCTGCTGCCAGTTGTTTTACCCTGTTAGAATTCTAACAAAACATAGGTCGGAATTTGGTTTTCAACGATTAACCTTAGGTCAGCCAAACCTCATCCAGTCTCTTCAACCTGCTCCCTACTTTTCTTTAGATCCAGTGAAACACAGTGAATCTCCTTCTGATCTTCTACATCTGCGCTTTCTCCCATAAAGCTATAGTGCTACTCACTGATTACCACCTTTCTTCTTAACCTAGGTTTAACAACACTTTCCCATAGCTTCATGGTATGAAGCTACAGAGACATTGGCTTTATGCCTCTGTAGTTGCTACAGATCTGCACAATACCCTTGTTCTGTACCAGTATACTCAGATGTCTCTCACCATCCAAGACTGTGTTCAGCCATCTGGTTAACAAGTCTACTGCCCTGACTCACAGATATAGCCATACCTCCACAGGTATGTCATCTAGACTAGCCACTTTCAACACTTCATTCTTTTCATAGTTTACCTTACTTCCTCCTTATTATTTCTCTGCACTTCCCGATTACCAACTGTCCTTCATTTGTCTTTCTCTTTCTCTCATTTTCTTCAAGGGAACTAATTTTTGAAAAACATTAAAGAACAGTTACAATGGCAACAGACCCTGATTTATCTGGGACATTTTGTAACAAATCGAAAACCTCTACAAAGTAAAATTGAGCCTTGTAACCAACGAAGTAGTATAAATAAAGACAGTTGTTTCATTATTATCCTTTTTAAACTACAAACTTTAACTATGATTAAATATGCATTTTTTCATCATAATTAAAAAAAAAAACAAAACTATTTTCCCCTTTCCATATAAGTCAAATGCAATAAATGCATATATCGAAAGTATTTTTCACTCCCTATAGCTTTCCAAAAATGCAATATCGCTGGCTTTACTTTTCAGCTATCATTTCCTGGTATTATAGAAATGTTTTCCCCTTCCTGTTTTAAAATTGCTACCTTTCTATCCAACTTTTTCTGAAAAATACAGATTTTAAGAGAAGAATAAGGCACAGTAACACAATATCCACAAAACATTTCTTAAAAGTTTAGTATTAATATAAAAACATTAGAAGGAAGCTGGTTTAGTTGCAACACTGGAAGCTTCATTTCGCACTATAAGCACACATGGAAAACACATATTACATATAATGTTGTAACATTTTAACGTTCTAATTTGGTGATACATTGAATGCGTTAAGGGTAAATTAGTGTTTATGCCACAGTTTGTAATTCAGATGCTCATAGGTTTGGCATCGTTAGCCACTGTTAGCTTAGCTCATACTTATGCGTCAAATTAACACGATTTAAACGTATAGCGTCCTCAAAACCTCCCCTGCCCATTTCCGGCCATTTCAATACAGCCTGCGGCGGGTGTGTGAGTACCTGAGAGAGATAGAAGTCTTTAAATTTCAGGGTAAAGTCCAATGTTTACTTCATACTCTGATCAATTTCCCCGGTTCATATTGTTGTTGGGTCCTTGTGATAGCCCCACAGTTAGGTGCCTCTCATAATGCCTGTGGGTAAATTTACTTTCATTCTCTTGCAGGAGCTGTATTTCCTCGTGATATATTACCTATGGCGCGGTTTTGTTTGGTATTTTTATATCTTAACACTGTCAAATAAATCTAAACGTTTATTCATTAATAAAATGACAGTGGTTGATCTGGCAATAGCGATAACGCCAGGGACCTGTCACCGTGCACTTTGACCTTGGACTTCAAGTAGTGGGTATTCAGTTTTACAATCCGCAGGAGATTATTTGAATTCCAGGTAATTTAACACACTTCATTTTACTTTGGAGGTTGTCTAATTGATCCGGGTCATGATCTTTTAGTTTTTTGATCGGTTTATTCCTCAAATACTTGAGGTGTCAGAGTATTTGGCTGCATATGTAATGACATGTACTAAGAGTTTACAGTACACCAATAATACAAGATATTTGGGCTTGTACACGACATTACCATATGCTAAAATGGATAAAGAGAACAATTAACAAGTAAGTACAGTAAAGTACGTGCATTTCTAATATGTGAATAAATTACCATAAAAGAAAAGATTTTATGATACTGAGCTTTTAAAAGATTAAGGTTGACTTAATGGTTCTTTTAGTTATTTTCCTAAGCTTGAGTTATACTGGATCATTGAATTTGATACCAGTTTTAAACCATTATTCATGATATACTTGGATCAGCTACAACTATTAAAATCACCTACCTAAAAATTATCTTCCCTCTCCACCACCATTACAACTGCCATCATCACCAAGGCCTAGATATAGGATCTCTGGAGGGCTCCTACAGTTTTTGAGATTGAGACTTGCGAACAGATTGTAGGGTTTTCAGTTCTGGATCGTGGGAGCTGCAGATTTTGTCAAGCCCTTCAGAGCCTTTTGTGTTCCTCCAGCAGTTCTTGAGCAAGTTTTGCTAAACGTATAGGGATGGATTCAGCTTGTTCCAGTTTCAGTCCGATGCAGATACTTTGACTTAAGGCAGCGATACCATTGTTAAAATAAAAATGATTTCTGCTTTTTTTAATATAGCAAATTTCATTACAAATAAACTCAATATATTTACCATAAAAGCTAAAAACTATGTAAGTCGACAATGTCTTGAGGGGATGAAAACAACAAAATAAAATACTAGTTAACACACATGTGCGCATATACACACACAGACACAGCTGTCAAGTGCAAACCTACAAGAATAAAAAAGTTTTAAGTATGTTTTTCAGTGTAGACACAGATATAATTGATCTCAGTTTAGCAGGAAGCTAGTTACAAAGAACAGGATTACAGTAACAATAATATTAATATTAATAATTCAGGGAACCATTAAAAGATGTCCTGAGATGTCTAACAAGGTTTTAGACACTGATCAAGTCAGAGATGTTCCACTGAGTAATCATCACTTTGACTGATGCTGGAAATTATCCTTTTTTATATGCAAGTACACACTGATTTCCTAACTTTATAAAATAAAATGTAAGAAATGTACCAAAGATAATACATTACAGCAGGATAAAAATAATTAAAATATTCATATCTAGTCTCCTATCAGTTCATTGTGAGAACTATTTCTTCAGACTGCTGTCATTTATATTCAATGTACTCTAGTTTATCCTTTCCTGGTCTCACAGTTTCACTGAGTCCACCTCCTTCGACTGCTCCTTACACACACATTGGGCTGACAAGAAACGTGCGATGTGAAAATATATTAATGGAGTGAAACAAAATGTCACCGGTGTTACTGTAAGTGCAGTAAAAGCTTCCAAACAACAACAGAAGATAACAACAGTGACAGCGAGTAAGCTAAGAAAATATTCTTGGAAGTTTTTAGCAATTTCTGCTCTCTTGACCACAGTTTGTGGTTAAACTAAAAGCTTTTGCAAATATCAAAATGAAAAATGTTGATGTAGGTAGAGTCCAATGCTTCCAAGCTGCTGAGGCTTTGTTGTCATCTTCCTCCATGCTTTGTTAGTCTTCCCACCAGTTATCAGTGCACTGCTTCCATCAGATGGTGAATTAAACACAGAACAATATAGAACTCAATTAAGTGGATCAGTCATAGTCCATCTTATTGTCACTGATATGCAATTTAAATATTGGATCAGTGCAAAGTATAATCAAACACAGTCAATCTTTTTTTAATACATTTCCAGCAGTCTATTTCACAATCCACTTACAACACCATTGTGCGTGTTCTCCGCAACAAACAAGCAGACCTACTCTGAATTACAGTCTTTAAAGAAAATGTTTGTTTTGTTGCTTATTAAACAAAGCCGACTGCAATACTTCTATATATGTAACAGGCTTCCATTGGCTGATAATATTAGTCATTTGATATATTGGTTGATTATTGTCTTTGAAGTTGACCTTTATCTCGAGCTTGAACGATATGGTAAAAAATACACTACATACACCCCCACTAATATTTGGTTAAATATGCTTCAGCATATTGCTTTTGGTAGCCATCAACAAGCTTCTGGCATAATTTGAAGATAATCCTCAAGGCTTCATTTTTGGCTCCAAGAGACCTTTCCAACTCGTGTAAATTTACAATTCTTCTTCTTAGAGCTTCACAGACTTCTGAGATCTTCATAAAGTTACCATGATATCCATGCTCATGAACCATGAACTTTTGACCAAAACTGTATAACCTGGTGTAATTTGCTGGGGATGGATTGGAGGAATTTCTAGCCTATCACAATAGGAGCTCGCTGCTCCTGCATTTTTTTTACCCTCCACTTACTGATTTTTAGCAGGGCAACTTTAAATGTCTGTTTTGCAAACAGCACTAAAATAAAAATAGAAATTCACTGCCAGCACTCCTGCCGCAGTAGAAATGACACCACATATGGTGGGTCATCCTGGCCCCTTTCCAAATCTGCATTGATCCATGCATGACTATTAATTTACCATCAAGCTCCAACAGTGACTCCAACCAAGTTCCAACTACTGCTAGCTAAATAAAATAAAAATGAAAAGCATTCAGATCAGCAGGTCATTATATTATATAGAAGCCTCAACAAAAAAGATCTACAAATATTAATACTAAGGTTCAAGGTTGGCTAATAAGTACCTCTCTTCAAGGGTACAGCCCTTTATTTTAGCTTTAGTGACAAGCTGTTGTAACACTAAAAGTGCAGTAAAGGTTTTTGGTTTCTGAGAGTGTATTTAGCATGGAGTGAACATGTGAAAGACCTGAAATATGTCATTTCTTGTGCAAACAGAACAACCCTAACTTGCAAAATAAAAATGAAAGGTGATCACAAAGGCATAGAAATTATATCAGTGCACCGGGCGAGACCGTATGAGGGCAGTTTTGTCTGATTCACCACTGGGAATTTCCACCTTCCTGGGAGTGATTCACAGTCAGTCTCAAAGCATCCAGAAAAAACAGCCCCCCCCCCAAGACATATGTTGAGCCAAAGTACTCTGGTGAAATTGTTTACTAGTTCAACTCTCAGCTTGAAGTTGGTCTAACTTAAGTGGTTAGGAGGTTATGACACCGGGAATTGAAATAAAACAAATGCAGCTAGCGTTTGTGTGTGGGTAGAGCTGGAAAAAGTGTGTATAATCTGAACGTATCTGAACATTTGTTATACAGATATAGTCATATCATTGCCATAAAAATATTTTCCAGTTAAGAATGCAGGCTCACAAGGGTTTTTACAGTTGATCCAAAAGTTTTTTCTTTGGGATTTTGTTTGCAGTTCAGTCTAAAACCAGAGTTAACAAAGTGCAGACTTTGTATCATTTTATGCAACCTGACACACAGTTACAAGACAAGAGTGCAATATTATACCTTTAATCATTTATAGGTTCATGTAGTGTGTTAATAATATAGCAAAACAGACAGAACTTTCAGTTTTATCTCTTATATTAGCTTGGATTTCTAAACTATTTACTAGCAAAAAAATGGAATATTACCCGCAAAACACAAAGCATCGTCCTCCATAGCTGAAAACTGAAGCCAACACAGAAACACCAAAAGCTGAAGTTTCTTCTAATGGTTACTGGAAGCTGATTTTAAAACTTAGTTAATCTCCATAGACTCACATATGCAATTTTAAAAGAGAAATAACAAATTTATAGCCTACTACAAAAAGCAGTCGTTATCTCTAATTTCCTTCTTCATGGCAGCTGTATGTAGAGTGATTTTTTTTTTATAACTCAACTGCTCAGATTTTGGTAAATCTTAAAATTGAGGGTGCTGTCACTGAGAGGTGGCTGTATCTGCTAAGGCCCCAGTCACACAGGCCTAGACCAGTCAGCAACCACCAGTTTCTAGAGAAAATGTGTATCACTCAACTGTTTGCCTAGTGGTCCCTGGAGGTTGTTGGCATATGCCAAATGAAATCGGTTACAAAAGAGAAGCACTTGTTGTGATTGCTTTGGTTGTTAGCAGATTGTCTAAGTCACCCATAGTTTGCATGCAAGGTGCAGACCTTTCTGCAAATATTGCCATTTACTCTCTGAAGTGTACAAAATGTGCAGGTTTTATTTTGAAGGTGAATACTGACCATTCTGTGTTATACTTTCCACAGTTTCACTACCACTTGGCAAGTATTTTACAAGAGTTTGCAGGCATGTCGGTGTCTGTTGTGCAACCTCATAGTGACCAAAGCAATCGCAAAGATGTTTTTGAATCTACACTTTTTACCTCTTTGCAACCAATTTCAAACTAGTGACTACCAGCAAACTCCAGTAACTGGAACGTGCATTTTTCCCCTGTGTCCCATTTTTGCCAGATTGTTGCTGATTAGCCTCAAGACCTGTGTGACTGAGACCTAACTGTCTTCTAGGTTTTCACCTTAGCTAATTGTCACGAACAGTTAGGGATCTCTAGACCATGCTTGGGACTGCTGGTGCCTTTTTGAGTATTTTATTTATAATTATCTGAAAAATAATTACAGTAACATGATTTATTGTGTGGCTATTTTTACCAGCAGATGGTCTATTCCAGGGCCGCATGTTGCTCTTTAGTCCTTATAGTGCGGCTCCGCGTGGTTTGGGAAAATAAATTAGAAGTATTTAGCTGAAGTTTATTTTATTTATGTTAGTTATTTTTTAACTTGTAGTTCTAAATTGGAAGATTATTGTGATATTGAAATATAAAAATAAAATTATATTCTATTATTTTTTCATCGCTCTAAATAAGCGTCACACTCGCGGAAGCCGGTGTACCCGCCGAAACGCCGTGCATATATCAAGACTTTCAACCTCAGGTAGGCCAATTATGGACCTTCGGATCCACATTATGTCACCACCGTGAACTATGTTAAAAACAAACACCGCTCACGCCTCACAGATGACAGCTTACAGTCCTGCGTAAAGATGAAAGTGACTTCGTACAGCCCCGATTTGCAGACGCTGTGCGCAGAGGTTCAGGAGCAGAAGTCCCATTTTAAAGATATCACGGTAGAACCGAAGATTTTTCTATGAACACGCTTTTCAGCATTTCTTTATTGACCACTTTTCACACACGGTTGCTGCACGCATACAGCCGGCTGTAGCTTTTCAGCTCACAGCCCGACACATACCAACACAACAGCATAGATAGCACAGATGTTAAGGCAGCGAGGCGTGATTGCGGGTCCCGCTCAGGTGCGTCCGCCTCCCCTGCAGCGGCGCTGCAGACCACGCCCCGCTACACACAGTAACCAGCAGCATAGTGCATTTTTTCCAATTATTTTTTAAAAGTCAGGTCAAGGCTCCAAAAGGTGATATAAGGGTGGCGGCTCACAACAGTTTTTGTTTGCTACATGGGTCATTTTAGTTCAGCTGGGTGTCTTTCCTTTTGTTATATTTCTTTAAGAGTTCAAAATGTGTTAATTACATAAATAATTTTCTCTGTAACATTTCATGGATTTCATAAGCAACACACTTTAGTTGTTCACACAAAGCATAAGGTAAAAAACAATATATACAGTGTTATCTTCATTTTAGATGTCAAAAAATATTTGCGGCTCCCAGTGTTTTCTTTTGCATGAAAACCGGGTCCAAATGGCTCTTTGTGTGTTAAAGGTTGCAGACCCCTGGTCTATTCTCTTGTTTTGGTAAATGAAGTTCTAGGATTTTATTTGGATGTTACTTATTAGCATTTGACCATTCGACAAATTAGCATTTGTCTGCATCTGTAGATGCAGTTTGTAAACCAAGCTAGCAAGCATCAGCATATTGCTTTGTATCCCACCTTCTTGTCCACATATTGTCATTCCAAGATGCAATAAACCAACATGGTGGCTGCAAAAATGCTAACACTGCTTCCAGAAAAATAACAATCTGCATCCTTCTTTCAAACACAGTCTGCGCTTAAAACAGCATGCATCATATTATTTTTAAAAAAGTGTTTAATATGTGTGAACCTCAATCACATGCTGGCTACACGCTAAAGTATCACTCATAAAAAAAATTTTAAAAACTGCAGGTCTAAAATTGTATCACATTGTGCATGCGACTTTAATTACACTGTTTGTAGTGTTTAACATGCCCTTTCCTTAATGTTTTTTAACACATTTTGCAACACCTTTTTATAGCAAACGCTTAATATAAATGAAGTTTCTCACATTGGTCTGCTGAGCATCATAGCTCAGCTCAAGTTTAACTAGTAAGTGAGAATTTTGAAAGGGGTTCCCTGCTAATTCAAGTGGTCAGACAATGCAGTTTTTCACTGTAGTGAAGTTCTTGATGCCTGCAGAGAGAAGACACTGTTCTGCAAGATGTGGGAGAGAGAATTGAGCCATCCTACAGCCAGCGGCCAAGCTTTCCAAGTCTTCCACTGCCTAGGAAGAGATTTGAAGAGATTAACACACTAGCATTAGCTCCGATACAAGCAGAGGATTGAATTAATTAAAGACTTTGCTGTGCTGCGGTGCATTCACATGGTGTAGCATTGAAACTGTCGCCACCCCACCCCCAGTAAGACTGGAATTTGTCCAACTCAGCCAGCCATGAATGCTCTATTTTTACCTTCTTCCTTGTTTCACTCAAGCTCATGCTAATGTGAGAGATAAATAAAATCAAGTGATTTTTGTTTGGAGGCTGTTGAGAAACTAGTTTACATATTTTGCCTGAAATGCCCCCATCAAGCTGCAGCTAAAGTCCTTCTGTCTGTTTTTTGAATGTTGTGAAATTCATTGAACAGTTAATTTAAATTGAGAAAGGGCAATTGTTCCTGTTGTAATAATACAACCGTATGTGTTTGTGTGGCTTTTAATCATCAGATCATGACTGAGAAGGTCTTTGATGTTGTGGTGGTTGGCTCCTGTATGACTGACTTGGTGAGGTAAGTAGATTTAGTCCATTATTTAACTTTAAATCTGGTAAATCGATGATAGCATGTGAAACAAGTTGTTCCACTGACAATGATTATAAATCATCTTAAAATTTTATGAGAAGGCTAAATCTGGGTGCAGGAAACACCTCTGCTTCCTCAGGTGGACCCAACAGGAAACAGCACATTACCATGTTAGGAAACTAATTTAAAAAATGTTCAGCAGACTTTGTCAAATTTGTGTCAAGTCCCGATGTGGCTTTGCTTATTAGTTAGAATTGTGGTCAGAGGTTTATGTAAGTGCATCTCATGGATGAACGTCATTGTAATTTTGGTCTTTTGATGATTTCTTTGAACTTTTCCAGGGTGGAATTAATAAGGAGCATACCCTTTAATGCCTGAAAAAAAAACCAAGTATAAAAATATATATACAGGCTCACATGGTTAGAATATAATTTATTTTTTGATAGCTATCAACAAGCTTCTGGTTTAATTCTGGCTGGATATCTGACCACTCTTCTTGGCAGAACTGATCATGCAAATTGGTTGGTTTCCTGGCATGGATCCAGCATTTAGGCACAGTACACAATCAATAAATATATATGGCTTTAGGAAGACCATTCCAGAAGCTTAATGTTAGCCTGCTTAATCAATTTGTTTCACTGTGGACAGTAATGCTGGTGTTTCAGCAGTTTCCAGTTCATGGCAGGCTTAAGCTGTGGTGGTTTCTGGGTTGTTCCTGAACATCCTAACCAATTTCCTCTCACCTAAATGTAACAATTTGGGTCTTGTTCTAGACTTTGGCAAAGTGGTGACACATCTGTAACTTGTACTTATGAAACTTGGTTGAACTGATGACCTTGAAATCTGCGGTTGAATAGAAACAGCTACAAGAGACATTCCCAACTTGTGTAAATCTACAACTTACTTTCTTAAATCTTCAGTTTATTGGACTTTCCCATTGTTTTGAGTCAGTCAAGTGGGTGCTGTCAACCTAATTTATATGTTCTTATTAAACAAGGGTAACAGGTCAAATAATCAGGTAAACAGATGTAAAGGTAATATCATTGTGAAGAGTGAAGCACTTCAGACTTCAGAATGATATGCTAAGGTGAGTTTTGGCTTTCTTGCCCATAAGTCTGCTTTGGATGACATAAATTTCGTCATCAGATAATGAGTGTGGACTTTGGGCAGATGTCGGTGTACCAGCTTCACATTTGCCTTCTGGGCAGACTTCAAGCTGATTTCATGACAGCATAACGCAAATAACTTCTGAGGGCAACAGCCAGTATTGGTGGGTCACAGCAATGGTCTCATATAAAAAGCCAAGACAAAACAAAGACTTTGAAAACAAGACTTCCTGTTCTGCATGCAAGTCTTTTAGTGCAGTCTGATTATGATTGCAGACAAAGTCTGAAAAACTGAGTTGTATCAGATTATAGCCAAAGATTTCAAGATTGTGTTTCATCCATTGCATTCCTGTTTTCCACGGTTAATCTGCCTGCAGCCTGTTCAAACGTCAGTGCTACTCCATCAACAAATGGAAACCAAGACCCAGGTTTCCTACAGATTGTGCATATTTAAATGCATATAACTGTTTATATAAATTTGTTTTGAAGCTGTAAATCTGCCACCATTATCAGTGTAAACTGTAAAAGCTCAGGCTTAGCAACAGTAACTCAGAGGATGCACCTCAGAAAACAGTCAATTGTCTTTGCTTGTTTCCCTTTATTATTATTAACCACTGCAGCCAGCCTTTTCCTCCAGGGATTTTATTTTGACATGCACGCCTGATGGAAAATATGGCATAAGGGCTGAGGGGTGTTTTCCATCAGCCTGAAATGGTCTGCAAAGTCTTCCTACACTGGAATAGAGGAAGTGTTCTAAAGTTAGACAATGCTGCTGCATTTTCAGTATTTGTCCTAAAAGCCCCCTGAGTTACAGGAAACATCAGCAGTGTGCGTGTGTTTGGCTCAACGGCTTTCAGGCCATTAGGCAGTAATAAAGGGCAGGCTCCAGGTTCTAATCCGTCTACTAGATTGCAAAACACGTTCATATTGGACTGAAGAATGCTGCCATCAGCTTTCATGGCATTTTTAAAAACACATGATTTTTTTTAAGTGAATCAAAATTTAAAAAAAAAATAGACAGCAGAGAACTGAATTAAATGGAAATAATTTAAATTATTGAGCAAAAAGTTGTAGGCTGAAGCTTTCGTTTTTTACGCCTACCCTTTCCCAGCATTTTTGTAACTACAATTTTCGAAAAGACCAGTAAAAGTAATAAATTAAAAACAAGGAAATAAACAAGATAAAAACAAATGTTCAGTAAACAATGGTTATCATACCTCAGTTTGTTTAGCTCTTGATTTTTAGCTTGTCAGTTGGTACATAAAAAGCGAATCTATTAGTCTAAGATATACAAATGATTAAAGCGCACGTTTTATGTTACTGTTATTTGTAAGTAGATGTTTTTTTAAATCTTGGACTTTACAAGTCCAGCTTTGAATGATTCACAGTTCAAAATAATCCTTATTTATTGTATGGTGCTTCCTTAGAGAATTCAAAGGCCTTTATATTCCAAATCTAAGTCATGTAGAATAACCAACAAGAGACCGGTGATGTATAAAGTCTTATGGAGGCGCTAGATTGTGTAAACGCAATATTCTTGTAGCATCTCTTGCATTTTCTTCAGCACAGAGGACGGCCTGTTTTCATGAAAAATCGGTTGGAACTTGTCTAATTTAAATGAGACAATGTGTGGCAAGAAGTGTCATTTGTGCTTTTACAATGATTCGTAATTGATGAATATCTTTCCAGCTTTATCAAAATTAAAAACTCCCTGGCACATCCAAAGAGTCTCACACGAATGCTTTGTCTCATCATTATATATTCTGATGAGTTTTAAAGTCATTCTCTTTAATTTGTGTTTGCAGTAAAAAATGCTGTAGGGGTGAAGCAACAAGATCAGCTAGAAAAGAGAGCATCTAACTGGGCCCTGTGCTGTGAAGCAGGTTCAGCATACCCAGAATATCTTTTGCTTATCTGGCTTTACTTACTCGAACCAATCAGGTTAAGCGATCATAAAAAGCTAAATTTTACCACCTCAATAAGTGAACATAGGGTCCACCTCAGGTCTGCCTCTGGTTTTACAACAGAAAGGAAACTAAAATGCTGAAAAATATGACGAGATTAAACATATTGTACTGAAAGCAACAAAGCTGCTGCAGACAAAGCAGCAGAGTGTGCCGCGTGAGAGAGTGTGAGAAAGGAGAAAAGTATGGAAATCAAAATGCTCTATGAACGTGTGAGCACTTGACGACAAAAGAAAAGTTGGAAAAAATGTCAATTGTGTAAGTTAATGCTAAAGTGAATCTATATTTCCTACTGATGCTCTTTTTGGAGGACAAAAACTTGATTTAATCTCTTAATATGCACTCACTGAAGTCCGGGTGATCTTCCAGGAGTAGTGACTCTATTTTGCAGTGTTCTGAATTATTCAGTAGGCAGTGATTACATGCTTGTCAGTCTTTTACCTCGAACACAATCTGCCCTTGAGTAGGTTAGGTCTGCAGTGTAAGTTACCATGGTGATGTGAACCACCTGCATAGCAGAGAAAACTCTGGGTTAAACCCTGAAGTTCCATGGAGAGGACCAAATCCTGCTGTGTCGTATAGACCTGCAAACACAAATGACAGATTGGTTGAAATGTGTGTAGTAAATAGATTAATAATGTTTATGATGACTTAGTTTCATACAACTTGGATCATAGAGAAGCAGACAGAAATTATGGATGCATGTATTAGCCGGAATTATGCATTACAAACTTGATGGTCAACCAAATTATGAGTTTCCACAAATCAAAATCGCTATTTATCCCTTCCTCTAATTGGCATCATTTTACAAACAAATGAAGGCTTTTAGAGCACTCTGAATCCTAGCTTCACATGTACATACAGTATGCTCATGTTTATTAGGAACATTCATCACTGTAATAATACATATGTGACCAAAAATAAAGAAAATCAGAGTATGTCCACTTAATTTCTGGTCTAAAAGGTGGGACCATCTGATGGTAAATTCAAGTCAAACTGTGCAGATGATCTGGTATAATTCCTGCTTGCTAAAATGTCAGCGTTGCATCATCCTCGTACGTGGTGAAATTTGTTGAGCCAAGTAGGATCCATTCCCACAATCATTAGTCATCAACTGCAGCACAATGGGTTAGTTTGAAACAATTTGTCATCCTCTTTTACCAGAACCTTTGCAAGCAAATGACACAATCTGAAAAGGCATATAAATCAGCTGTGATGGCAAAAGTCTCAGTGGGCTCCAGCCAACTAAATGTCTTCCTCTCAGCGTGAAGAAGTGTGGAGATCGCGCAACAGTTTGTGTCATGCTGCGTCTTTTATATTTTTATGTGAAAAACATATATGACTGACAGGTGAGGGGAGCAATAACTGTCATGACTGTCACCTGCATGCCAACGACTGAAGCTCTGAATAAACAACAAACAAAATATGAGCTGCAGAAAAAGTTTCATAGCAGCTTTGCACAAAGTTGTCGCTTGACTGTCCACACTTATCAGAAACACATGCCTTCTCCCACTGCGAGTTTTTTTGGGAAAGGAAAGGCACTTTTAGTTGCTCATTAGCAATTCATGTAGTGACTTTCTGCTTTGAAGGGCAGGAGATGTCAATTAAGGCTCTAATAAGCTAATGGGAAATGGCCTGTTTTTGGTGGCAGGGAGTGTGTGTGTGTGCGTGTGTGTGTGGTGGGGCTTTTTTGGATGGAGATCAGAATGTGGATAGGGGAATACATTTGCAGCCCTTCAAAGTGATATGCATGACTTTGAAGTTAGAAATCCAGTTGTCTTGAACAGCCAGTGTTTGGGTGGCAGTACAATTAACTGACAGACAGCAGAGGCGCACACGCACACACACGCTCCTTTTCTTTTTGCTTCTGCCATATAAACACCCAAATGTAAGGCAGATTTCTGCAGTGTTTAGTTTC